TGGGTTCGATTCCCGGGCAGGGTGAAACATTATGCAAGTTTCCTTACTCCACTGTTTACCTTGTAGTAAGTACGCACCCAGTTGTTAGTCGATTGGTGGATCATTTTTCCGGGGGTAATAATCTCTTTTTTAAAAAAAGAGAATTTGGTCACTCAATCCATGACTGTTTGTGGGACGCTGCTGTGCGCAATTGGCTGCCACGTTTCACCCACAATTATACAGTCAATTCACTTTGCAGTATTTAGTGTGAAGCGCTTTGAGACGTGCTAAGGCGCTGTATCAAATGCAAGGATTATTATTTATTATTATGACTGATTGTGGGATCTTGCGGTGCACAAGTTAGCTGCTGTGTTTCCCTCCAAATACAGTCATCTACAATTTACATTTTGGTGATTTGGTCGGGTGCTACACAAGCAATGGATTGTGTTTAATACCAGCACCCAAACCCAAGTGGATAGTCTTGAGGACAAACCGAGGTAATTATTCTGCCCTTTGGAAAACTGGATTTCATCAATGAGTACTCACTCCCTCCTCCTCTCCTTAAGGTGTTTGACTTCAGGAGACCTCAAGCTGAGAATTGATGTTGAGGTGTTTCAGATACTTTACTCTTTAAAGTCTGTCAATGGACGATTCTTATTTATGGGGTGGGGGGGGGGGGGGGGGGGGGTTGGGCGGAAGTTAATGAATAGCCCAATCTGTACAGAAAGGCTACAGTCTTTGCTGTGCCTTCTTTGTAGCAGCAGCGAGTTGCCAAAGGGTTTACGTTGACTTGAATGAACTATGCAAATGAAACTGTGTACCAAAGAATGGGAGAAGAACCGCATCTGAAACCGCTGCCTTCTTGGCTCTGGTGCTAGTAGTGGCAGGAAGTGATGGTGAGAGGCTTATTTTCCAGCTGACAGTGGTGTGACCTTTGGGGGCATGGTGTGTGTGTTTTTTTCTTCCCGACAAATAATGGGACACAGTATAGTGCTGTGGGCCTGAATCGTCACCTCCACAGCCAACCCCAGTGCTCCCAGCGCACCTCCCCCCCACCCCCAAACACCCTTCGAAATGCAAGCAACAAAAAAGCACATCATTTTTCATCCTGCGCACCAGATAGGTGATGTTATTTGATACTGGTGGGAGCTAGCCTGTGTAGGGGAGAGAAAGAGAGAGCGAGAGAAAGCTTTATGGTCCGAAACTGAAGCAATGAATGGAATCGGAAACATCCAGTGGCAGCGAGGACTTACTCGCTGAGCTTCTGAGAAGCGGATTTTTAATTGTGGCTTTTACCATCAGAGCAGAAGAGATTGAGAGGCCAGATATGTTCGAGGTGTTTAAGGTGGTGAAGGGGCACGACAAGATAATAGGAGAAACCTTGCCTTCAGTTGGGGAATGGGCGACAAAGAGCGCTCAGGATTGTTAGCAAAGGAATCAGGGGAGAGTTTAGAAGAAATACCATCATTTGAAAGGTTGTTAGGTGTCCGAGTCATTCCAACCAGCACCTACTGAGGCCGGATCGATGGGAATGGGATAAAACACCAGAGCAGTAAAAATATTTAAGGGATGTGGGTGATGGGAAGTGAGCGACTCGCTATTTAACAAGCGGAATGGGGCAGCCATTTGCGCACAGCAAAAAAAACAACCTTGCATGATGAGCAGCGGATCTGTTCAGCTTGTCCTTGACTATGACGTGTCAGTGTGACTGTAAGTTCACCCTCTCGCTCGTTCTGTGCTAACGCCCTCATCACAACAATTGAGGCTGGAGAGGATGTGGAGGCTTTTCAGGGAATTGCGCTTTACAAATGTCATTATATTTTTGCACGACCCGTGCTACAAACATTCATTGTGCAGCCCGCCAGTCTGCCCGCCAGCCAGCCGCCCGCCCGCCAGCCTGCCCGCCAGCCTGCCCGCCAGCCAGCCTGCCCGCCAGCCTGCCCGTCCGCCAGCCAGCCTGCCCGCCAGCCAGCCAGCCTGCCCGCCAGCCAGCCTGCCCGCCAGCCTGCCGCTAGCCAGCCTGCCCGCCAGCCTGCCCGTCAGCCAGCCTGCCAGCCTGCCCGCCAGCCTGCCCGCTAGCCAGCCTGCCCGCCAGCCAGCCTGCCAGCCAGCCTGCCCGCTAGCCAGCCTGCCCGCCCGCCCCCGCCAGCCTGCCCGCCAGCCAGCCTGCCAGCCTGCCCGCCAGCCTGCCCGCCAGCCAGCCTGCCCGCCAGCCAGCCTGCCCGCCAGCCTGCCCCCGCCAGCCTGCCCGCCAGCCAGCCTGCCACCCGCCTGCCCGCCCGCCAGCCTGCCCGCCCGCCAGCCTGCCCGCTAGCCAGCCTGCCCGCCAGCCTGCCCGCTAGCCAGCCTGCCCGCCAGCCTGCCCGCCAGCCAGCCAGCCAGCCTGCCCGCTAGCCAGCCTACCCGCCCGCCAGCCCTATGGTGTTTAACAGGAACCGTTTCTGCTCACGCTGGCACATAGAAACAGGTGGAGGCCACTCACAATGCCAGATCACTAGTTTGTTAGAAAATAGAGGATCTTTTTATAATAATCCTTGCATTTGATACAGCGCCTTATCACGTCTTTGAGATGTCTCAAAGCGCTTCACAGGATACACTGTGACGTGAATTGCCTGGATATTTTGTTGGCGAAACGCGGCAGCCAATTTTTAATCTTTATTTTTATGCATTTTCTCTGTACCTCGTGCTGCAATGACCCATCAGGAATAGACATTTTCGGTACAGAGGCTAAACTGCCTTATTTTTAAATATAAAAATGAGTCCCGCGTTCTTTACCCTTCCCCGTTATCCCTTAATGTTTCTACAGCTCAGTTGCTTCTCTGCTTTTCCCTTTTAAATGATGTTGTTGATTCATCCTAAATAGCTGCTTGTGAATTCAAAGCCCTCTCAGTTTGAGCAAAATGAAGTGTTTCACGTTGTCAGTTTTCACCTCTCGACCTCCTCCCTAAAATGGTTTTACACGTGAGGGATGACAAGCCCGAGTGCTGCTGAGAGTTTGAGTTTGACCCATGGAATGGGTTTGGAACATCAGTTGGAGTCCAGGCTGATGTTGTTGGAGGAGCTCGCAATGTCCAGAAGAACTTACATTTTATTGCCTTGTTTTCCGATACTCGTTGGGTGTGGGTTCATCTCTGTATCTGTTTAGTAACGGACCGACCAACCCTTTTTTTACTGCAAGCACACTTCTGTGTTTGCTGAAACCTAGGTTACTAACTGCTGAGTACTGGCGTGTTGCCTATATAGAGAGAGAGGGAATTATGTCAAGTATTTGTGCGCTTCACAATGAGGGATGATAGTGGTGGGAGCAGAGCAAATCCTCCGACTTCTCTTCCCACCCCCACACTTGGGAGCCCACTGTCAACACCCAGCGCTCTCATATCAGCTCCAGCACGGGTTAAAGACAGAGTAAAACTAAATTGCGTCTGCAGTTAAGGGTTGCTCACTGTGGTGCTGTCTGGCACGACACGTAAAATGCCTGGTTTCTGAGGACCTTGTAATGAGGGTGGGGCGAACAGCGCCCAAGTGCTAAGTTGCACGCGTGTGGTTTGTGTTCTTTGCCGTAGGTTTCATAATTACTGGCTCACTGGTGTGTTGTTTGCTTGTGGCTTTGAAATCTGGAGTGTTTCAGCGTGGATGTGGGGTGTGAAACCCACAGCCATGAAGCTGCCTGTTCATTTGGGACTCATTGCATTCCACTGGTTAACCCTTTCGATGGGTTGGGCTGTGGATGGAACGCTGCAGGACGGGGTGCGACCAGCTTCTCTCCACGTCGCGCCCCTGCCAAGGCTGAGAGGACAACCCCTCCTTACTTAGAGTCACTCTCGGGAGGAGATTCATGATTCCATGGTGATAAATGGGAAATAACTGAGATTTGTTGCTCAGCATTTTGGGGAGGGTTACCTTAGGGCTGAGATGCTAAACTGAGGTGGTGACTGTCTGCCTGTTCAGGTGGATGTTAAACGATGAAAACGAGGAGAGTTTTCCAACGTTGTAACCAACAGTTTTCCAGGTGAACTTGTTTCCTCCTAGTGATGGTTCGTGAGACTTTGTGTGCCAATAACTGCTGTGTTGGACTACAAAAAAAAAGCAGTCACTACACTTGACAGCAATTACCGCGAAGCTCTTTACGGTAGCCCGAAGTTGCTGTAAATGCTGTAAATAATTGTTACTGTCAACGAGCGGAGGGTTGGAGCCAAGTTAAACTGTGCCTCTGGAATGTCAGTCACTGAAATATGGCTCTCGTGTAGAGTAAGACCTGACCTGCTTGGGCATCAGAACTTATTTAAGAATGATTTTGTGTTAGTTTGGAGATTCTTCGCTGAGCTTGAATGTATGGTCATGGATGGAGAGGTTGGGGGTTCATTCCTGGATCTGAACGGTATTGAGCAGAGGCTGGATCTTATCTTTGCGTGTGAGAGCTATCAGTGATTCCCAGCTGGCCAAGGAGGACATTGGAGGAGGTGTGAAAAGGAGCTGCCGCACGCTTGGCAGTAGGGGAACGAGTTTGGCGTGATGTGGAGAGAAATAGGTGGCTGAGGGATACTTCCCAATAGTTGTCTGGTTTAAAGAAGGCGAAACGAAATAGAATTAATTTCACAGACCCGTTCATCCCAAGGCCAATCCAATGAGCTTGGGTTAAAGTGTTGACGTTATTGTGCTAACTTGATGCTAATAATGTGTCATCCTGGCTCAATTGGTAGTGCTGTTGCCTCTGAGTCAGAAGACTGGTCGGAATTTAGAGCTCAGAGTCTAAGCTGAGTCTCCAATGCAGTGTTTTCGGAGCGCTGGATTGTCGGAGATGCTGTGTCTTGGGGATGAGATGTTAAACACAGATAAGATCCAGTCTGCCTTTGCATTAGAGAACTACTTTAATACGGAAAGAGTTTCTGCTGGTGTCCTGGCCTGCAGTCCTCCAGATAAAATTGGTCATTGACTTCATGTTTTTCTGTGTGCCGTCGCTACAATCCACAGCAAGTCCTGTGAATCGCTTTGAGACGCTTTGATGACATCGGGTTCGAGAATGATTGTGATAACAATGTCCTTTTCTTTCTCTCCTCACCAGAGGTCTTACACATTAATCTTGGAGGCTTGGGATCAGGACAACGGCACGAGTGGTATGTACTCAAACCTCGCAACCATTCTTGAAAGGTATATTTGTGTAACTAGCTGTGTTTGTGTGTGTCTGTATGTGTGTGTTTTTGTGTGTTTGTATGTGCGTGTTTGCGTGTGGCGTGCGTGTGTGTGTTTGTGTTCGTGTATTGCTAATGTGTGGGGAAGAGGGTGTTGAATTGTGGGAGGTGGGTCAGGTTACGTAATGCATCAGAGCAGAGCACACATGTAAGGATGTTTGGGTGGGGTGGGGACGGACCCACAAGCCCAGGACAGCCATCGATAGGAAGCAATAATTCCTAAGGTATCTTTACAGTGGGTGACTTGTTTTACCCTGGGAGGTTAGGCTTAAATTTGGGGCTGTGCTTGTTGGAACAAGGAAGGTTTGGAGGATAAACTCAGGATCATCTCTGGATTTAGGTGGACGTTTAGAAGAAATTCTTTTTCTGCAGACTGTTATTGCTTTGTGACGAATGGTTATTGAAGCTGAGACCATCGAGACGTCAAGAAGAAAATAATAATAATCCTGGCATTTGAGCCTTATCATGTCGTTGAGATGTCTTGAAGCGCTTCACAGAATATACTGTAAAGTGTAGTGACTGTATATTTTGTGGGCGAAACGCAGCAGCCAATTGCGCACAGCGACGTCCCACAAACAGTCGTGGATTGAATGACCACGTTATTTTTTTTGAAGGGATTATTACCACCGGAAAACGAGCCGCCAATCGTCTAACAATCGACAAGCATTTGAAGAGGAATAATATAAATTGAATGAAAGGGAAGCAGCAGATGGTTGGGATAAGTAATGCAGAAATCAATAATTGCCGCACCCCTTCCAACTCGTTGCTCTGCTGTTGATTCAGCCTCTGAGCTCTTCGTTGTTGCTGTGAATCCAAGCTTTCAGGGATGAGTTAAGAGTTTACAACGTTACGTAAGGAAGATGACACAGAAGTGGATGTGCGTAGTTGGCGTTGGGATCTGCTTCTTTCTTTACCCTTCAGTATATTAGCAGAGATCCGCAGCCTTGAGGTCAGAGAGCACTCGCCTCGCAAGTGAGAGGACCCGGGTTCGATTCCCGGGCAGGGTGGAGCTTTAGGCAAGTTTCCTTACTCCACACGCCTCTGTTTACCCAGCAGTAAGTAGGAACCCTGGTTGTAAGTCATTTGGCGGCTCACTTCCCAGGGGTAATAATCCCTTCAAAATAATAATAATTTGTTCACTCAACCCACGACTGTTGGTGGGGACGCTGCTGGAGTGTGGAGAATGGAGCAGGTCGCTGATCGGAGGGAGATCAGAGGTGGGAAGTCGCCTGGTGTGCACGTGTGTGCAAACGCCTCTCTCTCTCCAGGAGACGAGAGGAGAAAAAAACACACAACACAGCTGAAGCCTGAGTAGCAAAAAGGTCATTCTAATCCGATGCAACTCTTTCTGGTGCCAGCACTCAAGGCTGCAGGAGAACAGAGCGACTATTGAACCTCGCTGTACGTTCTGTATCTGCCTCTGAACTCCTCTCCAGGGCATGCGACTTTAAGGTGTGTCTGCGGGCACGTGTCGAGTGCAAGGTAGAACACGCCAACCTGCCTGGCCGTTAATGCTCCCCTGGAGCAGTGTTTTGTGCAGCTCGCTCTCTGAAGTCGGGGCAGCTCGTAAATCAACCTTGTAAACCTGCTAAGCTCCAGCAATCGACATCGCTGCACTCGCCTCTCAACACTCCCAGCGTCTCTGAGCCCCCAATGGATCTTTGTAGCTTTCCTATCCATTTGTTCAAGAAACAAACCTGGACGGACTCCTGCTCCAACCCCATTGCCTCCCTCCGCTCACACTCCGCCCCGAGCCCTCTCTCTGTCCCACATTGCCGGCTGAGGCTGTTCTCTCTCTCTCACACTCTCTCTGTGACATTTCTCCCCAAATCACTTTTATTTGGGCTTTCAAAATCCTCCTGAAAAATCCACCTTAGTTTTACCTTCCTCCTCTCCCACCACACACTACACACCCACACACTCTACACATACACACTACACACACACACAGCACACACATTACACACATACACACACACTACACATATACACACACACACACACTATACACACACACTTAACACACACACTATACACACGCATACTACACACACATTACACACACTACATGCACACTATATACACAGTATACACACACACTACACACACTATACACACACACTACATGCACATGATACACGCACATGATACACGACTACACACAAACTGAAATACAACACTTCAGGGTGTCGTATTTCACTTCACGAGGGTACTGAGATTGTTACGGTGAAGCAACGTTTGAATCAGACAGTGTAGATGTATTTAGGAAGAAGCTGGACCTTCACAGGCGGGAGACGGGAATAGTAGGGTATGAGTAAGGAGCGGATGGACACTAGTGTAGAATTTAAACGTCAGCACGGACTGGTTATAAATGCGTTTCAATATGGAGCTGCCACCAGTTCATTTACAGTTGCGTGTAACTATGGTCAGGCTGAGGGAGTAACTATCTAAACCTTTGAGTGGGTTGAAAGAAATGTATTCAGTGCTGTGTAGGAAACTGATGTTAAACAGATAACAAGACTGTAGAAACCTATTCATTGCAGCTAAGCTTCATGCAATCTTATCAGAAGGATAAGCGGTTACTGTTGCTGTCTGGTTCTAGATACCGATCACCATTGAAGATCGAAATTCCAAAAAGCAGATACCAATCTAACGTTCAATAGGTGCAGAATAATAGGGACCGAAGGATAGGGTACACGTTGTTCAGCTGAAGCTTCCTATAACCGCCTGAATAGGACCTTTCATTCATGCCAGGTATTTATGGCTGTCTCTACCAGGCTGCTTCTAAATGTGATCATGCCACTGATACTCCATCCCACAGTCCCTCCACCTCACCCCCTCACTCTTCAAGACTCTCTTCGCCAACTGTGCCTTCGGTCACCCTCTTGTCCCCTCCCTCCAGCCCCATCCTGATTCCAACCACAAGCTCAGGTGGGGATCCCTGACTGTCCAGCACCTTGGGACGTCCTCCCGACCTGAAAGGCTCTACGTAAACGTCATCTGTTGTTGATACAGTGGCCACGCGCTGGGCAGAGATGAGGTTAAGAGCGCTCACTCTTAAGCACACGCATGCATCTGTGAGTATAATAAATCTTTATAAAGAGGTTGTGTTAGTACCCGGGTCCTTCCAGCTGTGCTTGGAAAACACGGATTGACCATTGTAAACGTTGTGTGAAATGTGCCCTGAGGGTTGCAGCCGAAACCCATTCCCTGGTGGGCGTGAGACAACTCCATCGAGAGCTGCTCCTAATTCAGTGCTAATTTGTCAATGTCCTGCAGCCCACACCCAACGGCTCGCGCAGGATAACGGGAAGGTTGTCGAGTTGCGAAGCTGGTTAGCTCGGACCTGCCCTTTGCTTGATGCCAAAAAACTGGGGGCATTTTCAATTCCCTTTGGGCTCTGTCATCCATCCAGCAAGGAAAAGGATTGCTGCATCAACCGCGCGTTAATCATTGACATGGACCATTTTATCCACACTTTTAAAGTTGTGCTAATTATCACCTTGGTTTTTAACCACTCTGTCCATCAAACCAGTTCCCTGTTTGTAGGGTCGGGCAGCCTGCCCTGAAGCCCTCAACTAATATTGCTTTATAACCAGATCCTGTCATAAAGAGCTGTGTGGGCACAGCCTGGAGACACTTGCCTGCCAAACACTTATTTCTTTATTACTTTTTCTCTTTCTCTCTCCCCCCCCCCCCCCACTCCCACCCCGAGAACTCTGCTTGGAAATGCCCTGATCAGGGGTTTGTTGACATGACCCAGCCCACTTCATGCTTGGTGTTCCGTGGCGTGTTGTGATCACAAAGAACACGTTTCTTCTGAACTGAGCAACGGTCGACTAACAATCCTCTGAACAAAACTCGGTCATTCCTTTCATTTGCAGAACATTGGCTGTGTGGAAACTGGCCGCCACGTCCCCCTGCAAAAATGCACAGTCACTACACTCTACTGTGAAGCACTTTGAGACGTTCTCCTGACGTGAGAGGCGTTAAATTAAATGCAAGGATTATTATTTAAGGGGAAAAGAGACCTTGGGATTTAAGCAGGAGATGCATTCATTGTCATTTGCCTCTTCCACGATGCCAACGTTAGAAATGGTTTGATTTGCGAGGTGAGATCTGCAAAACAGGCTGTTCAGAGTCTGCTTCATTTCTGATCTCTTCAACCCCGAGTCTCGCTGAGCAACGAGTGCCGATTGTGAATACTACTGATAAATAATCCTGGTGTTTATTTTGGCCCTATTTTGATCAGTAAAGTGTTGCAAAGGAAGGCTTTGAGGTTTGCAAGCATTTTACCCTCAAAGTACGCAGTCACGACACTTTACAGTATATTCTGTGAAGCGCTTTGACACGTCTCGAAGAGGCGGTAAGGCACTGGATCAAATGCAAGGATTATCATTATCTTTTTATTATAAACGTTAACACAAACTTCAGAGTTTTTATAACCCAAGTATTTCAGGGCCTCGCAATCAAATGAACTGAAGATGTGGGAGCTGTGGTTTGCTTTCAGTAAAGTGAGGTGAAAACAGGGTGATGGGATGAGGTTTCACATCTGCAGGACTTTCGACCTTTAGCCTCAAACACTGAGGAGTGATTGGATCTGTATTAGTATTAAAACGCTCTTGAGACAGGCACCTACCTACAAGACTAGGCTTGCTCAGCTTGGTGAGTGATGGAAGGAAAGGGGGCTGGGACTGGCTTGGTCCCAATCTGCTTGGTGTAACAAGACTGAAAGCAGTGTTGTGGGGTAAGATAGGCTTTGGATAACTTAAAAATAACCGCTGCCAGGTGGCCTAATTGTTCAGCTAATGAAGTAATCCTTCAAGCACTCCGACCGATAATTTAGCACCATTGACTGGTCTGAATGGATGTCTGACTTCTATAAAGCAATTAACTGGCTTTTCTCTCCCTCCTGGCCTCTCTCA